ACTGCTAAACAATTTGTGTATGGTGTCGCCTCTGAGCTGAATGAAATCGTCTGGCGTTGGTCAAATTGAATATTAAAAGTGGTGTCCCCGTAGTGAAGGTGTTAGTTCAGATAGTATGTAATAGAATAATATGCAATTTCTTACATATTTCCCACAACTGTTATTGCTAACTAGGATGGTCGCAGTTTCCTCTGGTTTGTGTATTAACTTTGTCTACTTTACATTGTTAAGCCATAATGTGGCAGTGTTAACATTATGTCTATCTGGTCGGATTCATCACTATACACTGTAGTGTTAATAGAGAAGAAAAATCCATGAACTATATTACATGAAGTAAATTCTGACTCGTACAGTGCAGCCACCGGGAGTAAAGCTAATTGTTAATATAAACCTGCCTGGCGGGGTTAAAAATTACACAGTTAAAAGAAATATTCTCAGTGTTAAATTTTAGTTCCCTCCATTGTTAATACTTTGCTCTTAGTATGTGGAAAAAACACCTTCAGGCCAAGGTTTTACAGAGTATCAGTGTTGTATTTATATACGTCAGCCTTGACGAATAAACAATAGTGTATTGTCCTTTTCAGGTATTTTCACGAAAGAAAAATCCTTTATACCATTTCTCTCAATAGAGTTAGTTTCGTCACGTTCCGTGGGACGACACAAGGCGCTGCTAGTAGGCGGCCCAGCAGGTATCTCACCTCCATGGATTTTGACATAACCTGTTAACCACATTATGCACTTCGCTGGTGACCTTGCTGAGTTACCTCTATCGAGCTTCTTCCTCTCCATTCGTTGATTATTATCTTTATCTACCAGAGTCTATCCCGAAGTAACATGTTTGACGTCTCAGGGAACTCCGACTCACTTAACATTCTAAAAATGAGGAAACGCATGTGCTCTTGGCTGGGGTCTCATTAATTATACCACCCAGCTGTGCTAGCCCATCATGGTGCACCACATCGCTGTTATTAAACATTGTACTAACATGGAGGCGCTCCATGTCAGTGCCAGCCACCGTTCCCTGTTGACCCTCGCCACAGGACACTGGGCTGCCTGGTGGGGGGCGGGCAGCACGGTTATTCATATCACGAACCTGCTACTGACCACTACGCAGATGTCTGGGGCAAGTGGGGAGGCGTCTTTTCTACTTGAGCAACAGGTAGGGTGGAGGCATATGCGGGAAGAAGAGATGGTTGTTCTCGACGTGTTAAGCAAAATAGGCCTTAAGAATAAGCTTATGAAGTCGTGTTTCAGTTTGCTACACCACACAGTTTGATAGGCTTCCAAGAGCAGATCTATTCTAAACGGGTACCACTGAACACAGGTAACATTGAGAGACACACATTATCTTCCCATTAGTTGTCCCATCACCCACCACAGCTTCACCAACACCAAACAAACATTACAACTCTCAGGTAGTATCGCTTAATTAACTCGCACTCAAATTATTGTTACTCATTATTTTCCAACACATGAGACACTGTACATATTCTTTTGACGCAGTTAATGTATTCCATATGGGGCTGACCAAGGCAGAGTCACACTATGTTGTTCCACCATAAGACTGTCACAGGCTGAGTTTAGCCTTTAAATAATCATGATAATATTAGGCATTATTTATGTAGTTATACTTTCACTGAGTACAATTTCATTCCTCCTGATAAACTCTATATAATTGCTGGACAGTAATTGCAAAGTGTAGTGTAGCATAAATTGTCAACAGTTGTCGCTGTATTCTGCTATCTGCTCTACTCAATCATACAGATTTTCAGTATAAACTCTTCCCATTCGCCCCGAATTTGTCATTAATGCTCTATACTATAAGCACTTTAGCCACACCTCTCCTCTTTCTCAACCCGCAGTGCTCTTCCCTTAATAAACTCATTAATTTTAGTACAGTTTCTTCATCAATAGATCTATCATAAACTTGCTCTGGTGGAGTCAACAAACTTATTCTTCCAAATATTTTGTCTTCGTCCTTGGTAATGTTTTAATATTTTATAAAAAAAAAGCATACACGATTCAATATTAAGCTAACACTCATTATAAAGAAAAAAACTTTGGAAATATTATTTGTACCTTGAATTATAATAATATGATACAAATTGAGATCAGGAGAGTTGTATGAATTAAGAGCACAGAACAGCGTTAATGGCGAGTTCGACGTGTCCTTCACAGCGCGTCAGACAAACACTTCTGTTTTGTGTCACCCTGGTATGGGAGACGGATCATATACGAACTTATCAACAGATTCCTTGAGTTGGTAAATGTTATGAGGGTTGCTGTGTTTATAGAGGAAGAATTTCACGTAGACTCACAGAAAGAAATCAAGAGGGTTGAGCTCTGAAGAATGAGCAGGCCAGCAGGTCATTACCCCGGTCACTGAACTATTCTGCTAGTAAATTTCTCGTCTCCACAGCAGTATGGGGAGTTGTCTCATCTTACTGAAAACACTTATGCGACGACGGAGAGAGATGGTAAACTTACACATGACATTACGGTAATTCTCCCGGTTCACCGTCCTCATTCTTGAACCTTAGTGCCACGAGAGCTCACCCCAACCCAAACAGTTAAAGAGCCTCTCAACAACATGATCATCAGGGCATTCGCTTCCCCTGAATCGGTAACTTTGACTGTCCGTCCACTACGCCATTAAGGTGGAATTGGCCATCGTCATAAAGCCACACCCGGACATTTCAGTTCTCATATGCCTCCATCATCCCACTGAACCACAGATACATGTCCGAGTGTGTGAGTTGTGTTTGATCTGTTCTTGTGTGGATAAAGTTGCGGGTCTTGCTTCAGGACCGATGGACAGCAAAGCACAAAAGACCAAGTTTATGTGAGCGTCTTCTCTGTATGTTCCTGATTGCCTTGCACGTGGAACTTTTTGCCATTGTGAAGAATACAGTTCCTGCTTGTGATTCTCTTGCTTTGAAGTGTTTGTGGTCGAGCCGCTGAGTTTTCACCACAGACTTTCACTTAACCATTATCTACCATTTGATTTCATTGTACGACATATTTACTTTAAGCTGATGGAAGTTAGAGAAGGTAGTTAAGCTGATGAAACTTAGTAAAAATAGATTCCCAGCTTTCTAGAATCTAATCTGAAATGGAAAATAAATGCTATAAATAGTTCCAATACTTTTGAAACTCTCTACAATACGTTCAAGTTTCCTAATAGATCATCACACTATTTTACTCATCAGTTTGTCTTTGTCTTACCCCTATTGTCTTCACCTCATTAACAACTCACCTGCTTTCGTCTGTTATATGTTACGGTTGTTCACATCGGTTTCCCTATACATCATTCATTATTCACATTGTATCTTCTTTCTTTACTCATAACTGAGACTTTTATTTATCTCTTGATTTTCTCCTGTTATTCATCTCCCTGCAGCATTTTTCGTTTAATCCTCACGTCTGTCTCTCCATCTTTTATCTGTTCTTGTTTTCTATTCTTTACTGGTTTTTTGTGTTTACTGTTTTAATCCTTCTCAACTCTTTCCTACTTTCATCACTCTTTAGTTGTAACTGGAGTGTGTATTTCATCCTTTATTAACACACTTTAATACCACTCTTCTTTGGTGTTTTGTTTTTTAATTCTCTCTCTCTCCACACACACACACACACACACACACACACACACACACACACACACACACACACACACACACACACACACACACACACACACACACACTTTATGAGACTGTGTTCTTAAGCAGCTCCCATTATTCTTGTCTATCCCCCCCACATAGTCTCAGATCTATTTATCTATCTATCTATCTATCTATCTATCTACTGTACATTATCTTTCCTCATTTCATCAGTTTTAATGACCATCTCAAACCTATGATTCTAATTTAAAAGTAATGATTACGATTCTGCTCAGTACGTAGCTCGACTTTGTCCATTACATTTTACTGTCAACCAATAGTCTAATGAACCTTTAACATCTCCAGTATCTCGCCTCAATAGATTTGCTTTTATTTTAGTGTTTTTATTTCCCATTATTAATCATCTCTCAAAATACATACGAGTCTGTTACTCTCCACTTGTGTTCAGTTTTGGCTCCTCGTGATTCCATATTATCATCTCCCAGTAGTGTCTCCCTGTTGCTGGCATTAATGTTTTTTAGTACAGTGATTTACTTCTTTCTAAAACCTCTCTCTTTCTTCCTCCCACGTTTCACTCTTTGGTTCATATGTACTAATGAGAAGCCACTTTTCACATCTATTTGTTAGTGTGAGGTATAATATTCTTGGATTGATTCACTTTGTTCTATCACACAACTTCACTTTATCCATAAATACCCGGTAACGTGAGAAGAATGCTAACTATGCTAACTACCACTGGTTTGTCTCTCATGATTCGAGCTCACTCATTATCATGTGTTTCTGTAGTTATTATTCCACTGATAGTTCATTATGTATGTACTGTTGTAGGTGATGGCGGGTCTACTGGCAAATATTCATGTTATGTTTAGTGTTTAATTCCAGATTAACTTACTCGTGTCTTGTGATAATGTTGAGCTCAAATGATTTTTATTCATTCGTAGTAAAGTTGTATTGTCATCACCTGTCACTCTTGGGAAGTGTAGATTCTAAACCTGTAAAGTGGAAAATACTGCAGAGGAGTAATGCATAAAACACTCAAGCTATACACTCATCACTAACACAGGCGAGTAACACAGACGAGTAACACAGGTGAGTAACATAAGTGCCCTGGAAGACATGTATTGTGTTCCCTATCACACAGAGGTCATAAATACTTCAAGGGAAAGGTCTTACGTCAAGGAATGATCTGGTAATAACAACCCCCGGGGATGGTGTGGTGAGCCCAGGTATTGCATCAGGTAGTCTTGCTAATGAAAAAGTAAATACTAGTGGGGAGAGGGGCATGATGAGGGGGGGGGGTGTATTGCTAAAGGTAAATGTTAATTAATGTTTCAATAATCATGAATATGTTTTAGTAAGCCCACATATGTTTTATTTCAGGTCTGAGGATGGAAGACGTTTACTCTACAAAAGGTAAGGTAAATGCATCCTGTGTTAGTGATGCTGTTACTCTCCCGATTAAACTAAGATATCCAAGTAACACACACACACACTTTGAGATTATATTAGCAGATCTATCCGGCGAAATCAGCATATGGTTCTTGGATAAGGCACTCTGGCTGGTTCAGCTTGAGAGAACGCCAGACTAATGATGACTCAGGAAGAGGCACTAGGCCTCAACTTCAACACCTGCAAATGTGAAATCATTTCACCAGATGAACACATCGCTAATCAAGTGAAAAGCGTCTTGCCATTGCCCAAACCATTCACCCTTGGGTGCCAACGTGATCCCTGTCGTCCTCAAAAGTAAGTTGATGACTTGAAACCATAGATCAAAGAAAAGGCCACCTACATATACCCACAATGTATCTCTTCATAAAGAGTCACTTTATGCCCAGTTTGACGTATCTCTTGAGGTTATCACCGTCTTTTGACAGTCACGTGAGCCTTTTATAGCTATGTTCACAGATGCTGTAAATCTCTCCTTGGAACAAGTAAATCCCCCGGTCTGCCAGGGTGGAATTGATGTCCGCAAAGCCAACCAGATCGCATTGCCAGCATCCTTATTGTCCTGCATGGCATCAGACGACCTGATTGGGGGATCGTCTCAGACCATCATATTCCATGGGCAGTAAACAAGCCCTCTGAGACAAATCTGACATGGAGAAGATTGTCTCAGACATGCTCAACGGGATATCAAATGATCTGGACGGAGCTTGTCTGCAGGCAGTGAGTGCTCCCCATGCCAGGGAGTTTCTACTGGTCACCCCTAACTCTTCCTTAGGCACCCTCCTGGATCCCAAGGGGCCTTCGTGCTGGAATATCCCTTATCTTGTGGTCCCTATTTCCACTGTTTTCAATAGTATCCATGTCAACAAGTGGGCAGACCAACACAGTAGCCATGCCCTGGTCTATGAGGCCTCCGGGAGTTAGCATTAAAGTTAGTGACATCATTCATATGAATCTGAGAAATACAGACTGACCAACACAAAGGGAAATGCAGATCTACAGGTCCAACTGAAATGGCCTAGAGTCACCTATTTTGTTTGTCTATGGTTGTTCTAAAGCAAAGATTAAAAAGTAAAGAACGAGTAGTAACGGTAGAGATCTCACACACCTCACCCTGGCAAAAGATAGTTCCTCCACACAAACTCTGTCACATGAATAATTCTGAAATTGTATACAGTCCTGTCGTCAGTGAGAGAGACTTTGAACATCATAATACTAAGAATAAAGTTATATTTGGTAAGATAAATTTCATATATTAAAGAAGAAAATTACACTCGGTTAGGTTAAGTTAAGTTAGGTTAGGTTATGTTACGATATGGTTAAGTTAAGTTAGGTTACGTTACGGTCAGGTTACGTTATGGTTAGGTTACGTTATGTTATGGTTAGATTACGTTAAGTTAGGTTACGTTAAGTTATGATGCTAAAAATTAAGTTAGTCAAAACAAAATTATTACTTACAGAGAATGAGAAATTAGATGCGTCACTAATGAATTCTGGCAGTTAACTAATGTTGATATGAAAGACAATGAAACCGTATTCAGCCAGCCATTAGCAGTCAAGACACTGATAACTTATATAAAACAGGAGCGAGAAGTGTGTGTGTGTGTGTGTGTGTGTGTGTGTGTGTGTGTGTGTGTGGACTAATCTAACACATTAATTAAATAGTCTCAAAATAATTAGTGCATATGTGTCTTATAATTTCATATAAGTATATTAAAAATTCACGAAACTCTTAAACTAAAATGTAAATGAATCGGTGTAAACTAATTTGATTACATAATAATAATAATGTGTTAAAGGTCATGGAGGTTACGTCAGTTGTGAGTGACCATGTCGAGTGATGGCGGCACACCACTTGACCTTGACAGACTGACCTGTAAAGACAAAGAGGCGAAGGTTGTACTACCAGCGGGGACAGTTTAGCTGGAGGGGCGGCAGACCGGTGATTGGCAGCCATGTTGCAGATCACTGGTTAAAGGTGTGCTTACCGCCCGCCCTCCAGGTGTCATGGTGGCGCCAGACTCTTGACAGTTGTGCCTTCCATGTTATCCATTTTTTGTTAAGTTCGTTAAAAAGTAATTGTTTATATAGACAGTCGCTCCTGGAAAAACAAAAGCAGGACTTTACACTAAAATCAAATTTGTGAGTATCCATGTTTGTGTTCATGTGGATTTGTTGTTACTCACGTGGTTATACAATATTACTAAACAGTGGCAAGATGACTTACTCTTAATCGAAGATCTTGACTTACCTCTGATGACTCTCACCTGCACCTTGAACACATGAGAGTAGAACCAAAGTAAGTTTCTCTGTCATTAGAATTTCAAGTATCGTCCTGCTGGGAAAATATTAGAGTAAAATAATTATATCTCTTGCCATTGAAATGGACATAACATGTTGGGCAATATTCCAAGTCTGGTTTCTTTATGAAGATCATAAATTTCTTCAGAACTATACAAGTTAACTTGATACAAGCCTTAGTCACTATACTGCAGTACCGTTCGAGATTTTCCCACTAATCGTCTTACCAAATTAGAGCCAAAAACTTGATACAAGATACGTAACTCACAAAAGTTCTCATTATCTGAACGAGGCTGGACATATTTCCATACAATTTCATTGTTCCACTGCGAGGCAAATATTTTCTGGTATAAAATTTTGGTAATTCTATGAAAAAAGTAAAAACAAATTCTTAATCTGTAAAATATGGCGTGTGAACGTAAGTGTTGTTGGAACCACTTAAAACTTTCTGCTCATATTTCACGTTTCAGCAAATCATTGATTGAGAATAATCTGTTTTTGTTTCTATATTCCTGAATTTCAGTTATCACTAATTTATTTGATAAACTTTATCACTGTTGCTACACTCCACGGGGCTGGTGAGGACAACATCATCATGAAGTCAGTGTTGATGGTTCAGTAATCACCCAGAGACAGTCATTTAATTGTTTTAATAATCAACAAATCGACATTACCCAATATTACGGTCCCTTATGTTACGGGCCTGTAATTTATTCCATATTCATTATTAGGTAATAATATTGTAAACTGTTTGATTATTGGGTTGTTAAGAGACGAAAGTTTGGTGACGGGATTAGGAAGCTCACTGTTTCATGTAAAGGGAGCAGGAAGTAAACCAATGAGTCGAGCATTATGGTTCAAGTAATCTTTAAGAATTTGGGCGACTAACTCGGTCCACGGTGCTCAGAACCATACCAGCTTGGCAACGGTTAGCAGGTGATAACTTTGGAGAAACAATTTGGTAAACGCTAGGTGTACTGGAGCGGCACGCCACAGAACCGGAATACTATTGTGAGGTTAAGGTTCGGACCGCTCCGTGTGTTGAAAGAAGCGGGGACCGGCAAGTGATAACCTTAGGGAGGCGAACAAGTGAGGCGGTACTCGTGATAGTTGATTTAGAAGTACAGTGTGTTTGGTGAAGTGAATCCTGCGGGAACCCAACAATAGTGTAATAGTTTTGATAATATGAATGTGTTTTTGACCTTCCTATTGTTTGTTCTGCCAGCTTCCACTGTTTCAAGGGTTGGTTGTCACCTGGGACTGGGGGTTAGCTCTGAACTCCTTCCTAACCCGGGGGGGATAAAGCAGTTTAACTTTTGTGACGTAACATAAATCAAACGTATAAATACTTCTTCTTTTTGTCTTTCAGGCTCTTGAGAAGCTGTACAACGGCAGTGAATCAAATGTGTGAGTGTGTCATCAAACAAACAACCTGCCGATCACTGATGGACATCAATAAGGTAACGTCACTTTATCACCTACATCAATCACCCTCACAAAATGTTAATTAGATAGATATTTTTATAGAGAAGATGTACCACGATGTTCCGGGAAGTGTAATAATTTATTTTGTTCTCCGTATCGCTACATAAACACACACACACACACACACACACACACACATACACACACACACACACACACACACACACACGCTATATTAATACAAAATGATATAATTATATACATTAATGAATCTACGTTTCTATAATGCATAGTGAAAACTCTTTTACCTGGGAATCGGACCCATGAACAAATACTGTCAAGACGGTGTCCAGTCATTCGTTATTCGCAAAAACTTTCTTCTTGAGTCCCAGGTTACAAATGTGTGTGTGTGTGTGTGTGTGTGTGTGTGTGTGTGTGTGTGTGTGTGTGTGTGTGTGTGTGTGTGTGTGTGTGTGTACACCAAAAAGCAAATTCTTCATTAAGTGTAAGCTAATGAAAGTTGCCCCATTTCTCCCGACTGATGAAAATACTTGTAACTCTAATATTACTCCGGCAGGCGACGCACTCAACAATCTCAGGCGTGAATTTGCCATAACACACTTGTGCGTCACAAACATTACCAGTCTAGTGAGTCCATGGGAAGGTATTGAGCGGAAACCAAAAACGAGACGGACGGACGGACGGACGGAAGGAGGGAGGGAGGGAGGGACGGCATCACTGATATATATCTCCCTAACTTTTCGTCAGAGGATGAAATGTTAAAACAGTATTTCCTGATGTGTAAAGTCCCATCATAATTGTCAGACAGAAATTTGGAACCCAATAACACTTAATAAGACTGAAGGAATTATTTGACAGAAATCGTAAAGTTTCATTTAGTTCTGTACGAGACACAGGATGAAGAGACGATGTTCATGTTATAATGAACAACATCGAGTACCTGGTGTTGCCGAGGCTTGATTTTGACAAAGTAAATATAACACAACCACATATAAGAAGAGACTTTAATTACATAATCACACCAAATTTCGTGGCTGTTCATAGCAGAGAAACAGGAGAATAGATGTGTGTTTAGTCAGGGTTCCAACTCTTTAAGGAAAGGGGGGAGGGGAGGCAATCACTAACGCCCAGCCGCCAAATTCCACCTTCGTAACACGTCTGGGGAAGATACGATACGTCTAACATGTTTTTACACGTTTACACAATAAATATTCCTCGTAACTGAAGATGTAAACGTGCACTTAACTGGTTGACTTTGGTTAAACGACAAACACAAAAATCCCAATTATTTTATCTGGTATTAAGTGAACCAGTCCCTGTTGGGCCCTCATGATAACGTCTTTATTTTCTTAATGTTTTATTTTACTTCATCGGTTTATGGGTTTATTTACCTGTTTTATATGGTGTTTGGGTTATAAATGTTTTAACTTTTAATGGGGTTTGTATATCATTGGATTAGGTAGGAGGTGGTTTATTTATGTATGTATTTATTTATTTATTGCATGATAGCGCGTTGAGTCTGTGTGAGGTGTTCCTACGTCTGACAAATTGGTAGGAGTGTTGGCAGTGAGGGAAACGTTATCGTACTGGACACCAACCACACTCTATCATAAGAACTGTAGCTGTGTAAAGTGAACAGACAAACAGACATCCTGCTTTATACAGAGTGTTTCGGAAATACGTTACATAATTCAGGGTATGTATTCCTGAGACATGCATAAGGGTAAATGATTCAATGACTCCGCGACCATAGTGTTAATACCCCTTTGCTCCAGTTGGGGTTCGGATGTGATAAAACCTACGGAGTATAAATGATATATTCAGTATTACAATTTATTTACAATCTTAATGTAATCTGATCTATGGATTTTGCAGTAAATGATCAACGTTCCAGCCGTCTTCCTGAATGTTACTCTTAATTTACATAGGTCTTGATATTCTATGTTGTATGTCCATAAACGTGTTGGACTCCTCCCCTTCCCAATTGTGTGGTATAACTCCGTCGCTATGGGGTAGTGACACTGGTCACGAGGTCATTGAAATCATTTATATGTTTCAAGAATACTCCCTCAGAATTATGAAACGTAGTTTTTTGTTAAATAAGGTATGAAATAACAACATATACAGCTTATTAGTAGAAAGAAATACCATACTTGTAAGAGACTAAAAATTTTCTTGTAAAAAAACAAAAAACATTACTACATCCCGTGCAAATCCAGGTGTTCAGGAGAGTTCACAATAATTTACGCGACGCTGATACTCAAGACGTTGCTCGCCTATACGTTAACCTGATAAACATTCTCAGTATCGTTTAGTCTATCTCCTTTATTACCATTATGCTGTTCTGTAATTATCTCACGCTCTCTCACATAACAAAATAATAATAGATACTTGGATAGTTCTACACATTTTATTAATTACTCTAGAATTAGCTGCACGGGTCACGCAAACTGCATTAGCTAAATTGAGTTCCCTCCCGAGCTCCATGCGAGGCTGTTGTCCCACTGTGTCCATGCGCTTATCATTCTTTTAGAAATTCCCATTATCTGATTTTTCACCACATGAGTATTGTATGTTCTATGAAATCCAACAATGAATATGATAACACGATTTATGCTTCATATGGTTGTGTGGTTGTGTAGTCAGGTTGTGATAGCTTCTAGATATGAAGATGTATAGGGTGTCCCAGAAAAACGTCCCTACCTCCCTTCCTACCTGCCTCCCTACCTCCTTCCCTGCCTGCTCCCTGCCTGCCTCCCTGCCTCCTTCCCTGCCTGCCCCCCTGCCTCCCTCCCTGCCTGCTCCCTGCCTCCTTCCCTGCCTGCTCCTGCCTGCTCCCTGCCTGCCTCCTGCCTCCCTCCCCTGCCTGCTCCTGCCTGCCTCCTGCCTCCTTCCCTGCCTGCCCCTACCTGCCTCCTGCCTCCCTCCTGCCTGCTCCCTGCCTGCTCCCTGCCTCCCCTTCCCTGCCTGCTCCCTGCCTCCCTCCCTGCCTGCTCCCTGCCTCCCTCCCTGCCTGCTCCTGCCTGCCTCCCTGCCTCCTTCCCCTGCCTGCTCCCTGCCTGCCTCCCTGCCTCCCTCCTGCCTGCTCCCTGCCTGCCTCCTGCCTGCCTCCCTGCCTGCTCCCTGCCTGCCTCCCTGCCTGCTCCCTGAGACACTGTGAGAGGGAGGGAGGCAGGGACATTTTTATGGTACACGCTATATACTATAGATTAGTTAAGAGACGAAATTTTCCACTTTTATTAAAACTCACGGGGCGCTGGCTGAGTGGATACAGCTTTCATCTCCTCTGTCAAGGTCGTTTGTTCGCGCCCTGGACAACCCTACTCCACCCAGCTATGAATGGATACTTAACACTGCAGTCAGGGAAGTGAAGGTGGGTGAGGCGGCTATACTGCCTCATTGTGTACCGAGTAAAGGGAAAAGATAATAGTAAAAATAATAAAACCAAGAATATGATTCATAGATAATCAATATGTTCTCACAGCTTCTCGTAGTGTTAACAACTTTATATAGATTGCAGCTATTACCGGTATTTTTTTCATATAATTATTTTGAAAAAAATCAACCTTTTTTCTTGGCGACTAATATAATATACTGTAGCACGTGTGGCAAGATGTTATATGGTAATGTATTAAATTCCAGGATGTATTGGAAGCATCTCTATAGATACCTAGATCAAGTTAAACAGAATACAGTAAGTCACAGAATGCAGCTTGAGTTAGCTTTGGGTTGAGAAGTGAGAAAAATGTTTGGTGGATAAGGGTGTGGCCACAACGGGAAATATATTACGGGCGAAAAATAACTCTCTCTGTTCTCACCCTAAAGTAAGAAGTGTAAGAATTCATGAAATACACTTATTTAGTACAGCTCATGAAAACCATTGAGGCGAAATCAAAAGACGTCACCATAGGGTTCAGTGCTTTTAGAAAAACTATGTCATGGCATATATTCAAGATCAGTGTCCCCGATTGTTTAAAAAAAGAAAATTATGTGGATAAAGTAAGATGCCAGTTAAGTTATGGATATGAAACGTGGTAACTGAACACAAAAATAAGCAGAAAATGGAAGTTCGGCGGAGAACCATAATGTGTAGAGACAGGAAAGACAAGATACCACACCACTAAAGTAAGAGCAGTTATTATAAGAGCAAAGGTATTGTCCGGGTAGTGGGTGCGTTATAGTACAAGAAAGGACCAGGGCAGGACCTCATGGTATAACAAAGGAGCCAGATAAAAATCAATTTCCAGATGAAGAAAAGAAGTTGAGTAGTCTGGAGTCGATCAATGGTGAGGGGGAGCGGTCAGGACAAGGGACTGTGGAGGGTGATATTGAACATACTGTATCGTATATATTTTTTTAATGCATATAAACCTTTATCCTGCTGGGGTGTAGGGTGGTCGGATAGATACTGATATGATACTAAGTGACAACCCAAAGTGTTCTCATTGATTGGTAAGTGTTTAAAGCCAGTACACCAGGAGGGGGATCTAATCAGCATCTCCTGTCGTGTCTCGTGCCTGTGATCATTTGCTTACGAGAACGAACGCTCTACTGACTGAACATAGGCCCTATATACTGTGTGTTTACGTGAGGTAAGGACAGTGTGACGGCTGCGATAGTAAAATTTTTCAGGCAGAGTGGGGTACTGGGGTAGGCGGGATGGGGGGGATTACGTGTTCATGGTGCGCTGGTCTCGGGGAGGAACAATTCCGACAAGGTTCAGAGGACACGAGACAATGGATTGGGGAAAAACACAGAAAGGGTGGGTGAAGAGGGGGAGGTTTTTAGGTTGAGGAAAGAACGACAAGATTTAAAAGCATTATTGTATGCCTAAAATAATAGGTGTGTGTGTGTGTGTGTGTGTGTGTGTGTGTGTGTGTGTGTGTGTGTGCGTGTGTGTGTGTGTGTGTGTGTGTAGAAAATAATGTCCGGTTTTAGAGACATAAAAGTGAAGGGAAAAGACGGGCAGCGTATTCAGAAGAAATATACAACGATAATGGTAGAATGAAGGTAA